CAGGGGCTAGCCTAATATGACAGCGAACAGCCAAGTTCAAGATGAAAGCCCTTGACCTGAGGTCAGAGCCAGCCAAGCACAGCACCCACAACTGGAAGATTGTGTTTCTTTTAAACGCCAGATGATAAATATGGCAAAACCCCAGGAAAATACCTAGAAACAACAGTCATCACCTCCCTTGTACCCGCTTCTATAAGACTCCCCCCCACCCCCACTAGAACCTTTCAACACTTGCTAATTTCTATTCTGGCTAAGTCTCTATTACCATGCCATCCATCTGCAATCATCCTAAGGGCTCTAGTAAACCTCTCAAAACGATTCAATAAAAATTCACTTTAACTGCTAAAACTCTAACCAGAGCAGTTAACTAAGGCAGATTTATCGATTTGAGATTTTTTTTTTTTGGCTGCCCTCAACTTTGAGTGGAACATAAATAAGAAAGCGAGCCATTAGGAAGGGACCTCTTTCTTCCATTTCCTCTCAAAAGCTCAACTTCTCCACTTTCCACTTCTGCAGTCCTAGACGTGAAAGTTCAAGTTCAAACTAATGACGTGGAGGCTCCACAATCCTGGATAATCAAAAGATCTATTGTGTTCCCTTTACTTACAAAGGCAGTTAAGTGGACCAGTGCGCTTTACAATTTTCACCAAGGCTTGAAACAAAAGAGGTTTTCATGTTAACCCTCAATTCTCCAAAATATCCAATTAACACGCCCTGTTCTAAGCATTTTGGTCAGATGTAATTTTACCACATAATCCATGGTTATATTTTTCAAATTTTAGGAGGAGGATTGGTGTGAATAACAGGATGTCAGAACCTCAAAATGGGAATTGGCCTCACTACTGTAGACTGGAACGTGTATAGAGTAGGAAGGGTCCAGGAAATGAAAGGAGAGAAGTCTGGCAGACCTGGAAAATCTCCGGAGAGGATAACGCAGTTTGGAGCTTAGCGGCAAGGAGGCCAGCAGGATCCAAGAGGCTTCTGGGAACTGGTCAGCTACGTGAGCAGTCAGGAAAACCCAGTTAGGGATGGGGGCCCCAGTGGAGGGCAGGGCCTGGGGTGACCCCTATTGCACCCCCAAAAGCCACAGCACAAAGCAACACCCCACTCTCTTCCCCCTTCTTTTCCTTGCTAAACCCTGGTAATTCCAAAACCCCACTGTGGCTTGAGGTCACCTCCTCCTGAAAGCCCTCCCTGACTCCTTAGGCTGGACCTGGGGACCCTCATTAAGAAGCCCTCCTGAATTCCTCTGGGGGTGCCTCACAAACTATCCTGTCATGGTGGGTTTATTGATCCTTCTCCCCAGCAGCCAGTCTGAGCCCAGCCGTGTCTAACTCATCTTTGAACTCCCAGTGTTTTGCCCAGTGCCTGGCACACAGTAGGTGCTTAATACATGCTTGCTGACTAATTCCCATGTACTTTGGAATACAACACACTTCGATTTGAAACCTGACCCTGCACTCTATGATCCTGGGCAAGTTACATCATCTTTTCAAGTGTCATTGTCCTCATCTATAAAAGGGGGTGGTTGGTAAGATTAAATTAAAATAAGAAAGTATGTAAAGTGCTTATTCGAAGCCCTGGGGCATGGTGGGCTCTCAAATCCTTCCTGTTGATCACTGCACACCAGGGGTAAAGGCTGAGAGGTTCATTCCTCCCCTGTACCTCAACCCTCTGCTTTTTTGTGCTTCCATAGGAATAGTGGGGTGGGGTGGACGGCTGGTCATTTCAGTAACAGAGGAGGTGGCGCTCAGCCAGGCGGAACGCCGGGGAAGCCCACGTGCCAATGCCGTTTTAGGGGAGATAGAAAACAGAATTTCCCAGCAGAGCAGAGTCCAGCTGAACCAATGTACTCAGCTCACTTACAGGCCAGCCATTCAACAGGTGCACGTGCCCCAGAGGGAGGGCAAGGGCACCCAAAGAGCAGGCTCTGGAGGCAGACTGCCCCATTCCCCACCCAGGCGGCGCCCTCCTGCCGTGTCACCAAGGCCACTTTACCTTCCCTGAGCTTCGGTCTCCTTATCTGAATACATAAGGCTGCAGTAAAGAGTACCTTAACTAACGCAGGTAAAGCACCTGGCAAGTTGCCTTGGTCAACGTGTGCGCAATAAATGCTGGCGAGGGCTATGTGCTTGCTCCATACACCTCCAGCCTAACGCTCTACTTGGCCCTCACCAGAGCCTCATTTTGCAGATGAGGAAAGAGAGGCAAAATTAAATGGTTTGGTGGGTAAATGGCCAAGACAGATGGCAAAACCAGCCTGTGCCCTCTCTCATAAAAGTGCAGATACCACCCACAACGCCCAACATACAAGGTGCTCAGTCAACGCTTAACCCCACTTCTGGGAGCCTCTGCAATTTCGGAACAGGCAGGGGGAGTGGGTCACCCAACACCTGGTGGAACAAGGCTTGAGAGCAAGGGTTCAAGATGGTTCTGAAGGCAGGAAGGAGGGCGATCACGTGGTCCAGGGCTGGTAGCGTGCTGAGCATTTGAAAGTCCGCCCCCGTTCAACCACAATTGAACAGGGAGGAAGCGCCTGACAACTCAGGACTATTTCCAAAGATCTAAAGATCTAAAGGTGTGCTAACTCTCTTTCATGCACATGAAAGCACAGATACAACTTCCAGTGTTAAGAAAAACCCCAACCCAGAGTGCGCCCCCTCCCTTCCAACGACCCTTCCCAGGAACCTGCCCCCACCCCAGGAATTCCTAGCGAGGGACTGTTTTAGGCTTACAAAGGCAAGACGACACAGAATCTCAGGTGGAAAATGCTGAAGCAGCCAGATGGGAAAGAAGATTTTTGAGTTTTCATTTTTCCTTAAACCAATTTCCTGAGGCCTGAGGCAGTGCCCCAAGTCACAGATCAGAAAGCCGCGCCAGGCAGAATTTTCTGCAGACTAAAAGTGACACTAGCAAAATGCTTCCACTGGTCCGTTTTCGTTTCTTGGGTTTTTCCTATGAAGGGAGGGGACTTGCCCAGTTGGAGATGGTTTGTGCCGGGGATGGGGCAGGGCTGCCCATAATCATTTCCAAATCAGACTGGCCTGAAGCCCAATCCTTTTCTAAAAGCTACCTGCCCACTCTTGGGGGGTAATAGTTGACGGGTTTAACAGGACCTCAAAATAAGAGGCATTCTGTTTGCTCCAACACCTTGAGAAAGCTGTCTAACCTCCAAAGCTACTACCACCAGCTGCACCCGGCTGCCTCAGCCCAACCCCTCCTTTTCCCTTCCCCTCGTGTTTTGAAGTTTATTTTCCCACATTCAGCCTTGAATTCTTTCCTTCCTTCCCCTGCAGTGGCGGAGGAGCAGCGAAGAGGGAAACACTTCGAGGGCAGCTCGTTTCTTTATCATCCCCGCCTGCCCCTTTCCCCTCTAAACAAAGCCCTGGAAGAAACTAAACAACAACTCATTCTCCAGAGGAATTGTTTCCTCAGGGAAATTATCAAGTGACCCCTCCCCAACACACACACACAGGGCAGACACCCATCCACAGGCAACGGCTTCATCCCACAACTCCAGCTGTGAGGAGCGAACCCGCTCAACTACCTTCTGAAGCTCATCCTCCCCACCAACCTCACCTCCCACCGCCCCCACCCCGGGAACTGCTCCAGGACCCAGGCTCTCCCCACGAAAACCAAGCTCCCCTTCCACCGGCCCCTGAGAAGACAAGTCTTCATGTGCCCGGCTGTTGGTGGGCACCCATATGCTCATTCGTGTGAGTGTCCATTGACCTGGGGACAAAAATGGGGTGCCACAGGCAAGACATCTAAGACATCTTCATGTTTTCCAATGCTTTCTACCTTCCAACAGTCTGGGGCAGGACAAACGGATGAAGATGGGTTCATTCCCATTTTACCTATGGAGAAACTGGGGCTGGAAAAATGGGGACAACTAGACAGACATAAAGTAGTGTGGGGCTGGTGTAGATTAAATGCTGTTTCTCATCAAACCTCCTTTCTGGTATGTTTCACCCCAAGAGATCTACCCCTATTCTACCTCACAATCTAGAGCCCCTACAGGCTCTTACCCAGATCCTAGTCTGTCCACTGGGTGGAAGTCATTAGCGTAGGCCAAGAAGGGTGGGGTGGTTGAGGCTAAGAGCCTTGCAGAAACTGGAGTAGAAGGCCTCGGTTCCCAAACTGGCCCAAGGTCAGCCCCACAGTTTATCCAAGTGAGGTCAATGCCATCCATAGGGCATATGAACCAGAAGATAAGAGGTTCCCAATGCCAAGGTGGACGAGAAACTCTCCCCACCACCTTCCACTCTGCACAACCTCTCCTTTTCCCCCAAAAAGGGACTCCCTGGGTTTTATTCTTTTGTTCAACCTGCTACTTTCACAAAATTTAACTCCAAGCCCTTAAGGGATGTCTCCGCGAGATAAGTCTTCCCGGAAGCCTGAGCCCGTCCCGAACATTCCAGCCCACAGCCCCAGCCCCAGCCCGGGGGCTCAGGCCCGACAGAGCCCCGCACGCCCTCCCCGAGCCCTGCGGGGCGGGGTTCTTTGCTCAGCCTGGGGCTGGGGGACCCTCCCGCAACTCCGACGGGCTCAGGGTCCCGAAGAAAAGCCGGGCGGGCGCGGCACCGGCCCCTGAGCTGGGAGGTGGTGACGCGACGGGGTGGCACCGACTGGGCTCCCGAACTCCGGGAACGTCTCCAAGGAAAGATAAACGCCTTTATCTGCCCCACAGCCTCCCTCTAAGGAGGGAGGTACCCGCACACCCACACCGAGCCCCCGCGGGGCCTGGTTCACCGCGAGATCAACCCTAAGTTCTTCTCTGGACAAACTGGGTTCCAAAGAGTCTCGGCGCGTGGGTGACTCCCGTGTCCACCGGGGAACGAGAGATCCCAGCAGCCAGACGCATAGTGAGACATCCTCTCCTGTCATCCCCAGGACCACCCACAGGGACTGAGGGTCGTCCAAAGCTGAGAGGCTTCCCTTCCGCACTCCCACAGCTCCAGCCAGCTTCAGGTGCATGTAGGGGTACGGCGGCGGCTCACCTCCAGGATCTTGTCCAGACCCTCCTGTCCCAGGCACGGGAACTCCTTGAGCAGACGCAGTTTCTGCGTATAGTAGTTTTTCTTGGCCTCTTTCCAGTGCGGCTCCTCGAGCACCTCGAAGATCGCCGCCCCGATGGCCAGGTAGAAGATGATGGCCGAGGTGAGCAGAGGGCCCCGGTCCACCATGGCTCCGGAGCGGCCGCCTCCTCGAGAAAGCCTCCCCTAGCCCCAGCGGCTCCCGATCCACCCGCCCTCCAGCCTCTGGGAACAGCTGTTTGAATTTGGAGCTCCGCATGCGCAGTGTCCCGTCCCCCCGGCGCCGCTCCCGGGACAAAGTTGCTCCGCCAAGTTGGTCCACTGAGCGCGGGGAACTGTGTGGGGCCGTTCTCACTCGGGCCGGGGGCGGGCGGACACCCAGGGGGCCGAGGGGAAGCCCTGAATCGCGGGGCGAAAAGAGCTGGGTGAACTGTGGGCCGGACTCCGGGGAGACACGTGGATCACCCCTCCGCGCGCCACAGCAGTGTGCGCCGCGCCCGCCTCCGCGCGCCTCTTTAACCCGCGCCCAGCGCGCGCTGCCCGCCGGTGTCGACCCCCTCCCGGGGGAGGGGCCGCCGCAGGCCCCGCCCCGCCAGCCCCGCCCCCGTGCAGGCCCCGCCCCGCGCAGGCCCCGCGGCCCGCCCCGGAGTCGCGGCCGGCGCGTGCTGGGCCGAGCTCCGTGCTCCGTGCGCTCGCGCCCCCGGGGCTGCCGCCAGGGGAGGCTGCGCGCCCCGCAGGGCCCCGGGGGTTGCGATCTCTGAGAGTCGCGTCCGTTACTAGCGCTGGTGCATTAACTGAGTGTGTACCTGATGACCGAGGTCAGGAAGTTATTACTCTTGGTATTTTCATTATAATTCAATTTTCACTTACTGATGTTTCTGCCAAGAAAGCTTGATTCTCAGTCTCTTTCTGTCTCACACACCTTCCTATAAGTCTGGGGAAAGGAGATTAGAAAGGGACTGGAGAAGCTGTAGAAAATCAGAGGATGTCAGGAACTAATCCAGCCATAAAGGCGCGACTCCCTGTCGCCCCTTTTTCACCTGGCCTGGGGAGACCCCCCATATCCCCACGTGCTCCAAGGAGGCAGCACTGTTCCAGCCTCCTCCCCCCACCCCCGCACTGTAACTACAGGGAACACTTGACCTCTTTCGTACTCCCAAGCCTGTTTAAAATTGCAACCCCCTCCACGCACGCTCCTTATCCCCCCGTTGGCCTTGTTTTCTTCCTAGCACTAAACTCCTTCTAATATACTATATAACTTTATTTCTCTGGTTTACTCTGTTTGGCGCCCCCCACTCCCCAATGCGCGCGCGCGCGCACGCACACACACACACACACACACACACACACACACACGAAGCTCAGCTAGGAGGGTGGGGAGTCTGGATTGTTCAACAATATATCCCCAGTGGCTGTGGTATAGTAGACACTCAACAAACGTTTGTGCAATGAAGGGGTAAATGAATTTGTCAAAAACACACACCCAGGATATGTCTCCCTCACTTGGCTACCATTTACTGAGTGTGGATAAAACCCCAGCGATACGGCATCCTTTCCGTGTATTGTAAGCAGGACCTATCATTATACCCACTTCGCAGCGAGGAAACTGAAGCTCAGGTGGGTTCGTTTGTTCAAAGTCTCTCCACCAGCCACGGCAGGAAGTTGGAGGGGCACGCTCCCTCCAGCGCTCTGCACTAAGGGCTGGCCCTGATGCTCTCCTGTTTCTGTCGGGGCAGAGGCAGCAGTGGGCTGAGTCCCCGGGCACTGTCCCCTGGCCAAGGCCATTTTTTTTCCTCATGGGAAGGGAGGATCTTTGCTCAGGTGTCATGAGTTAGGGCCATTTTTACTGGGGGTGGGGGGCCAGGAACTTGGGTATCTCTGGTGAGGCTGGATGGAAGGGGCTAGGCATGCAGGTTTGGGGGACTGATCTGGGTTTGTAGGTGTTTCTGTCTCTCCTTTATGGTACTATGTTTGTGTCCTTCTGGGAGCTAAGTCCCCTCAACAAGGTCTTGGAGTGGCTCCCTCTGGGGACTACCCACTCCCCAGCCACGTCCCTCGCCCACCCCAGAGAGCCCCTTCTTCTCTAACCTCTGCCCGCCTCCTACCCACCCTGCACCAAACTCTGCAGTCCCATGCCCCAGCCCTCAGCTGGTACAGAGACCAGGCTTCTGTCCCACATCCCCCCTCTCTGGATGGAGAAAGTCAGGGGCTGTGGTGTGAACAGTTCATGCAGCGTGGGGTGGGGGCAGTTTGAGAGGCCACAGGCTCTCTTTGTTTGGAAAATCCTCTGCCATTCCTCTTCCACCTCCAGTCCGTGTTCTCTTCCTAAGAAAATAAAGGGCCTCTTCCTATTTCAGTTTCACTGTCTCACAAAAACACTGCAGAATACTTTGGGATGAAATAGTTTTTATTTGAAGTTTTAACAATTTCTGGTTTCTCTATCTTTCTGCTTTGCCTATTTCTCCATGTCCTGACTCCTTTCTCGCTCTCAATTTCGTGCTCACTCTGTCCTCATTCTCTCCTTTTGTGGCCCTATTCCTTACTTTCTCGAATTTTCCCAAACTCCTTAACCCAGCTCTCCATTCTCCCTGCTCCTGCCTCTCTTCCCTGTGTCTCCTTCCACACTGAATCTGATTCTCCTCCCCTTCTCCAGCCCTCTCCACCCTCCCTGGCCCCATCCACAAGTTTGGATCAACAATTTCCATTGCCGATCAGGAGCTATGCCCATTCTTTGTACTGTGGCCAGGTGAGGCTTTTGGAAATATAAACTGTACTGAAATCAATGAATGTCTGGACAACTTGAGCCTCAAAGATGGAGAAGGAAAAAGTAGGTATAGGGAGAGGGGTGGGTATGTATTTTCTTACACGTTGCATAAATAATGCCATTCCAATGGCTTTATTATTGTACTTGCTTATCAGATGATGGCTGATAATCATTTCAGAGTGGCATGTTTTGAAAGGCAGTCAGCTTGGAGAATGGAGTTGAGTTTCATCTTGAGAGCAGCACATCACTAGACTTCCCTGGGTCCCACTAGGAGAAACTGGCGGTTGTGTTCCCCAAGCTCATGCTCTTAAGCACTGGTCTCAAAAGGATGCATACTCACTTTTCTTTCTTCCTTAGTTCAGTTAGGTAAAGGGATTATCCTCTTGGTGAATGAACATTTGATAATCCTTTCATAATGCTGAGACACTTGTTTTACTTCTATTCAGGAATATTTCTGTTTATATTCTGTTTAGGAATTTCAAGGGGAATAGTCCCCCTCTGAAATTCATGTATGATCTAAGGGGACATATAAAAAGCCGTTAAGAGCATAAAGTGGTTCAACATCACTGTCGACGAAAATAATCCATAACCAATTTATAAATGAAAATTTGGGTGAGTTTATTCTGAGCTGAAATCTGAGGACCATGGCCCAGGGCCTTTCTTCCCAAAGGAAGACAGGGCACCAAGGAAGTGAGGTATACAGAGTGATTATATACCCCCAAACAGGATGTTTCACATATGATTGAAATGTCCCTCCCACAATAGTCACAAGATTGCCCTGTCAACACAGCGCTTGATGGACACAGAAGGTAGTGGGTCTGCTCTCTTGGAGGGCGTAGCAGGAGGCAAGTCTATTGTCTTGAGCTGGGTGGTCACAGGTGAGCTCAGCAATCAGTTCCTAGGCTAAGGAAAGATGCTTAATCCTTAAAGAAATGCCAACATTGGGAGGGGGAGGGAAGTTGCACCTTTATCTCAAGGGCCTTTGTTCTTGCCATAGAGAATATCTAAAGCAGATATACAATGCATGCTCAACGGCCTCAGTCAAGCCCTTTTGGAAAGAAAAGGTCAGGCCGAATTAGGTTTACACCAGATGGCTTCCTCATATTCTCCAATATATGCTATTGCTTGCCATTTTTATTTGTCATTTCCCCCTTTTGATCTCTAATCTTTCGATAGAAAGCATTGATGATCAAAATATTGTCCCTTGGCGCCAGGGTGGTTGCTGCCTGCCCTGGGTCCATCATGTCCCTCGGCGCTAGGGTTTTATCTCATTTATTTGCCTAGTCGTCCACGTTGGGGGGAAATAGTGGACAAGCATGGAGATATATGTATTAAGAGAGGAAGCATTTCATATGTCATGTAATTTCCAATTAATTTTAGATTGTTTCACAAACATTGTATATGTGCTTTTCTATGACACTTTGCAGTTACATTGTATATGATCATAGAACAAGTACAGTAACAATAATAATTCAACTTATTTGAAAACATTAGTTTAAAATGAGTTCTTAGGCATAGTTTTTATCAGAAAAGGAAATTTGTCCAGGATTATAAGATAGATCGACCATTTTAAGCCATGGAGCAATCATTACTTTAGTTTGTATGCTACTCTTACAACACTGAGTAAAGAAAACAACAATTAGTTTGAATATTATGACCAGTACAAGGATTCCAATAAGTAATAGAAATAGGAATTGCAATCCAGATTGAAAAAGGGAACAGGTACTGAAAGGGAACCAATCAAGCAAATCAAACTGGGTGTAGGATCACTTAAGGCATCCACTTGCTTCTTCATGTGCTTTAGCAGAGATGACGCATTGGAAGACTCATCACGTATAAAAACACAGCATTCAGTCTGAATGATTGCACACGTGCCACCTTGGGATGCTGTAAGAATATCTAAGGCCATTCTATTTTGAAGAACAGCCCTTCGCATTAAAGACGTTTCAGTATTTAAATAAGGGTATTCCTGCTTGACTATCATTAAGGGTTTCTTGAGTAAATTTAGTCAGAGATTCCATATGTAATAATGACATCTTTTAACCCCAAAGAAGAAGCACATATAGCTGCAAATATAGCCATACCAGTGGAGCACTGAACAAGCCCATCTGGCCTTAAAGAGAGGGAGGTTGGCAACAGGTTTTAAGTCAGCCTGACTCATTCCCTGCTTTTAAAGGAAACTCAGGGTGCAGTGTTTTAGCCATCCAGGCAGTAGCCAAGGCCAAAGATTTGTTCCATATAACCATTGAGTTCCATTAGGAGTCACTCGATAAATTCCTGGCCTTCAAGACAAGTCTGTTCCAAATTAATCCCTTTCTTTAAGTATGATAGTATTCCAAACAAATTATAAAATAGGTATACAGTTTAAGCATAACAAAGGTTTAAATGAGGAGATATAAGGTCAGGAATACAGGCCTGGTCCGGAGTCTTGGGACAGCTGTCTACAATAGATGTCGTGTTCTTCTCCTCCTGGTATGGTCCTTTCCAACTGGGCTGTATAGAGTCTTATTTGATGTCTCTTTCAATAAATAAATTCTTCAGGTTATAGTCGAAGATCCCTAAGTTCTGGGAGCTGTCTGTGAAAGAATCAGCTACCAATCTTTCATGTCTTTAAGCACCTCAATAAGACCATGACAACAATTTAATATACCCCTTAAGCAAACTTTGGTTCATATATTTCTTCATCTAATTGCATAGGCTGTTTTATTATTATTTCAAAATGAGACAGCCGATGTTTACAAAAAGTATAG